CACTCCACTTGCCACATAACCCTCTCTCCCCTTCAGTTGTGCTAATAATGACGCTTTAAGTGCGGGTGTTTGTGTCTTGAGCTGTCTGCGTGGGCACTCAAACAAAATTACAGTATTCGTTTTTATTTTTAATCATATCCCACAGAAATACTTATAGAGAGGAGCATGCCACTTCGCAATCTGATTAAACTTAAAAAAGTTATGAGCTTAGGTGTAATTGCATCATAGAAATTGAAAAAAGCATCCTAAAAACGTCTAGTTTGGATCGTATTGCTGATCATGAATATACGAGTATATATTTTATGGAGTCTGAGCAGTGTTCTTAACAGCATTGCAAACTTCTTACTGAAATTATAATATCCTCTTCAAGGGTAAAAAAAAAGGACTCACCTGAAAAGTTGACAACATTTCTTCCAGTGCCTAAAAAGTACCAAACTCCAAGAGTCGTGCTTCAGAATGTTTCGACAACAAGGATGCTAACCGCAGACGGAGTGTTTGAGTGCAAATGAGTGAGTGAGTTGAGGGTTAAGCATCAGTCAGTTACACTCGTCAATACCTTAAGCCTGCTTACGGATTCCTTTCTCCCACCTAACCACACATTGTTTTGGCAGGTATGTTCTCACGCCTGAAACCCTTCAGGAACCTCAATTAAAATGCTTGTTATTAAACAAATATCAATTTGTTTCGATTCCAAGAGGCGTATACGCAATGTTGTTCTGCTTGGTCAGGAGAAAAATTAAAATATCTGGAATATTAACAAATCTGTATTAGGAAATAGATATTTATAAATGCCTCTACACTTTTCCCAATGTCAACGCATATTTATTACTTTCTTTATCAAAAATTATGATTTTACTTGCATATTACATGAATGTATTATCATTGGAAATTGTTCACCCAAATTACTATTGTTTATCTCTAATTTGTCTAAGCTTTTCATAATCAAATTGTGAACGATTTAAGTTGCTTTTTCCTATATAAGAAATACCAATTAATTACACTTACTTAAGTAGTATATAAATTTGATAATGTGATTAACAAATTAAAGCCGGACTTAAAAGGCCACTAGAACGAGATTTCCCATTCTCGCCCATTTGGTTATGCAACATATAGAATTGGAATTGAATGAATCACTGACATAAAGTTTAGTTGGTATCTGCCATCTAATTCAACATTCAACAAAGCAACGGGATATCCACAAATACGGAGTCATCCACACACACACGCACACATGGACAAATGAATTCTGGGATTCCCCCTTCCATGACAGGCAAATACATTTTGTATACACAGCCATTGAGGCGTACTCTTGTGTGTGTGTGTGTGTGAGTGTGTGTAACGGCAATCATTATTGAGGCAATGATGTGCATTTCATGAATTATACACGGCAAGATGATGCGTTGCGATGTCGAACATCTGTGTGTTTGTGTGTGTGTGAGTGTTTGTGTGTGTCCGTTTCCTGCTCAAGGACTCGTCCTGTGCTATCCTGAACCACCCACGTCCCCCTCCCTTTGCTTTTCTCCCGATCCGAACACGGTTGGTTGGGCAATGCGTCGAGGTAAGTAATAAACTTATTGGCCCCTTGCCTGTCCGTTGATTGTCCGTTTGTAGCGCACAATATGCCAGGACATGCCAAATGGATCAGGGATGGCAATCATATTGGATGCTCATATACAGAATAATCGAGTTAAAGGGCTACTACTTTCTGGAGTTCGAATTTAATTAATATAGTTCAATTATTAGTAAGTATTAAGGCATCTTAAGTACATTAAGGAAGTATGCTTTTTACCATGTTTTGTACTAATAGAAATTGGGTTAGCAAAATATTGATTTTAAGTGATTATTGGTAAGTAGTCTTGATAAAACATAATAGCTTTAGATAAGAAACCAACAGATCCTAAGAAACATATTTTAAATAATTAGTTATAAAATTCATTTACGTTTAATTAGTAATGAAGAAAGTCGAAACTGATGTAAAGGATTACATTTTAAAGGATTGTATTTATTTATATTTTATTTTTAATTTGTTGTTTTAGTCTTATTTTAAATCCGTAAAACCATAACCTGGTTTATTTAAGCCGCTTTTGCCATCTCTAGACGTCAGATTGGCGTATGGGAATCAAGGGAAGTGGGAGAAATACTGGCATTCCGAGCCGCCCACTCAAATGTGGCCATATCATGACGAGCTGGCAATGCCAGCGGACGTTTCATCGTTAAATGTGGAACTGTTAAACAGATAATGACCAACCACACCACACCACACCGGGGTACGGCCCACAAAGGCCGCTCTCCCCGTGAACTCACCGCAGGGCGGCAAGGACTTTCGAGGGGCGGAACTCGTTGGGTGGGAGGTTAACTGACCAGAGGCCTTTGTTATGCTCCCCGGCTTTCATAACTGTATCAATGGCGATGGCGATGATGGTCCAGCTGCTGCCAACGATGATAAACCAATGATGGTGATGACGATGATGATATTCCACTGCTGGTGTTGTTATTATTCTCCATTTGTTGTTGTCCTGCGGAAACCAGACAACTGTCGTGCTGAAATTCTGATGCATTGAAATATAATTATTGGGAAATGTGCGATTGTCGTTGGGTTTCCGTTTACGTGCTCGCCATTTCGGTTTGGGTCTGCCCGATTATGCATGCGGATGCCGGAGTAAGGGAACAAGTGTAGGACATGATAAACAATCCTTGTACATACGAACACAGCGGGGGTCGCAACATTGGAAGTGGAAGTTCACGACTAAGAATAAGTTTGTTTTCTTCCAATAATTCCAATTCCAATAAAAGTTATGAAACAAACAAAAAGTAAAATTCAAAAATATGACGAAAATATATATTAAATTAGTAAAACGATTTATGCACATGCAAAGTACATACAACAAATTTTATTTTTACAATACAAACTTGTACAATTTTTTGTATATTTATTGGCAGATATTTTTTTTTATAAATATTTAACATATATTCTGTAAGTTGATAATATCTCACCCTTTATTGTTTTCGATTACATATTTGTATCGATTTGGGGCAAAGGAATTGATGCTCGCACCCTCAACTTTCCACCGAGAAACCACCCAGGCCACAATCATAATTTATGCAAGCCCAATGACATAACAGTTGCCAGATTATTGCCATGCATTATACATATGTAGGCAGATGTATAGCTACGAGTGTCCGTACATGCACATTCAATTACCATATTAACCGAAACGACTAATTAACTAATCAAATGCAAGACGTTGGGCAGAATAGAATGCGATTTTGCGGTGTGTCTACGGTTTCCAATAACGAGCAGCATTTAAATTAAACTGAAAACTTCCTTTAAGCTGGTTTAAACATAACTTCTGAATTTACTTATTCAACACACCTCTGACGCGGGCAAGTTTTATAGTGTTAAAAGTACATATGAAAGGTTTGTGTCAATGATAAATTCACCATTCCACTTTTTTGATGTTCTGTGCTTTATATTGAAAAGTAAATAAATATTTAGATACATATTAATAGATAGATAATAACAGTTATAAAAAAATTTAAATTTAAGGCGACAAAAACAATTCCTCGAATAACTACAATTATAGACTTTAGCGAATAATTCATGTAACTATATTCCATTGATATGCATAAGAAATGTATAAAAAATTTTAAATACAAACAATAAATACATATTACGATAAAAAAAAAAATAAGCCAAAATAATTGAGAAATAAAGCGCAATTTTGAGAACTAGTGTTGGGAAATTGAAAGAGCAATAACCGCCACAATTTGAACAAGATATGAATAAGATCTCTGTAAAAGCACCATATTGTTTAGCCTGTTTATTTTATTTTATTTATGCTGCTCTTTATTTAAGGTTTTGTTTTCTTTTTTTTAAGTAACGCCTCTTAAAAATTATCCATATCTTTTCTTTAGATATGTAATTTTACTTATTTTATTTATAGGGGAGAAATTTTTACAATAATTCATAATTCATATTCATAAATTACATTTTCATAATTCTTTCTTTTACGCAGAAAATTACCGAAAGTCAACAATCTCGTATGCCAAAAATAAATTCAAGAAATATTAAAAGCCATTGGGTTTTGGCCCAACAGCTTTCCAAGTCAACAAGATGCTCAAAGAGTAAACTCTTCGAAATTCTTTTTAAGTATGTATTTACGATGCTACCAATCTCTTAGCAACCGGTTTTTACGTTCTTATTTCTGGACACAATGCTCGATAAGGCCAAAAGACTTGATTGTTCTTCACTTGTGAAAGTCCTCACTCAGTCGACGTCTCCTATATGATGACTAATGGAAATCAGGGGAAACCAAATCATTCCCGGTGACATTTTCCTAGTAGCTCATTTGGGCATTTTCCCAGAACTCGCGTTTTTCAAACAGTAGCAAAAAGAGCAGGAAAACTGGTCTATATTAATGCTTTGGGTTATCGCTGAGTGCAATGACGTAGGGGAAACAAATGCTGGCCAAATGCATTTTAATGCGAACGAGGAACTTGGCGTGCTAGACTGCGGAAATAATTCACCAATAGACAGAGAGGGGTAGACTGCAATTAAATGAGAAAGAGAGAAAGTTAAAAAGTAGAGAATTTCATAAAATATTTACAGATACACAAGTGAATATTAGCGTAATTTTAATTTATTGATAAACATATCATTCACTATTTCATTTAACCATGCACAATAACCATAAAAAAATACATAGAAACATAAAAACTAAAAAACTATTAACTTTAATTTCTTTATCGTTTTCGAAACTAAGACATTTTTTTTATTTTGTGAACCAAATGAGAATTATTTTCTGTGTATCAACACCAGTTTTATCCACTCCAACTCCAATGTTGTGTGAATAAATTCTTTTCATTACATCAACACAAACTTGTTGTAACTCTATAGACTGAGAACGTGAAATCCCCAATAGCCGATTGTTTGGGGAAACGTAACGCTGGCGACCAACCGGCCAAACAAGTGGACCCGAGAGAATATTCGCAATTTTGTTTGTATCTCCGGTCAGTTGTCCGAGAAATAGCGTGCCGAGCAGTCGCAAAACGCGCACGAGTATTAAAAGAAGCCGAAGAAAAAATAATCCACAACAGCAGAGTGATTTCTTCAAAAAGATCTAGATAAAAAATACATTATACACTGCCACTGCATAACGGATACAAACAAAGGAATTCTTCAGACATCATAACGCCAACGATCGCATCTTCTTCATAATTAATTACCTAAAATCGTGTAATTGTTTTTAATTAATCGCAAAATGAGTGACCTAGAGCATATTACACTGGAAATGGACAAAGTTGAAGATGATAAAGCTTCGGCGAGAAACAAAGTGAGTTTTAGCTTAAGGCTGTTTTTTATTGCAAGTAAAACGAAAAGAACAACGAAAATGATAATGACTTTAGCGGCAAAAAAAAATAAACATAAAAATGGGCGAACAGTGAAAAAATGCCTGCAAACCAGTGATTTGTTTATTTTGCTGATAGATTGTTGAATAGATTTACTTCATACGAAAAAATATAGATTCGCGTTACCTGTTAATTATTGTGTAAACAGAGGGAAAGCTTCTCAGGTATTATCTGTGTACATTTTTTGGGAACAGTGAGAGCTGAAGCGGAATAAAACCCATGACTAGTCATAGAATTAGATCCCCTGGAGATTATCAAAGGCTTCCATATACTATATGTATGTTTTGAAGGTGGGGTTTTTATAAATCTGAATTTTCGGGCTCTGACATAAAAAACCAATAAATATAATTTATAGTAGATAAATTTAATAGAAAATCTTTTTTGTTAATATGTATATCTTTTTAAAAGTTAAGCAAATTTAGCACTGACTGATAATTGATGTGTCAAGAGAAGAGAAAACTTTATTGATATTGACATCTTTTTGGTGAAATGTAAATGGTACACCAAAAAATCCCACGTCTGCGTGGGGGATCTATTTCTATGAGTAATAGATCGCACCAGCAGTAATAATAAATGCTGTTTTGGGTCTTGTGGTTTTTCCCTGCAACCATTGCATGGACCAAAAAATTGTTTTATTGCCAAGGTATGGGGTTTCCCGAAATTGGAAGTATTTGTTATTTCATCATTAATTCGTAAAATTGTTTATACTTAATATCGCGTTGTTAAAGATTATAAAATGTTTTATTTCTATATAAGCATATGTAATCAGAATGTTTGTCCTCGAAGCTATCTATAGGTTTGAAGCTAATGGAAATTCTCTCTTATATAAAATTGTATATACATTATTCAGATAGGCAACTACTTAACATATAGTTTCATTAATCCAATGTTTGCAGCTGCTGGAAATGGTTTTTTATATAAATTAAAGAGATAACAATCTACTTTTATTATTCGATGCTTGCATATTCTTCACTGCTGCCTTTTTTGTAATGAAATTTTTTAATTTTTATGAATGTATTCAAAAGGAAACTGATTAACACCCCGGAAATATTCTTATTGTTGTGTTACAGGAAAATGCAAATAATCACAATCACAACGGCGATGCAATGGACGTGCGGACACGTAATAATTTACGAGTGCCCAGAGCAGGTTCGTATTCCAACTTACTCGTTTTTATCTGAAAACTAGAACCATTTTTCGTGCTTGTCTATATGTTAATCGATCTTGTGACTAATGCTGCTTAAAACCGCAATCATTAAACAATTTATGTAAACCGCGTTGTTGTGTAAGTACCATAAGCAAGTGGATAAATACTTATTGACATTCTTTTTCTGGTTCTTGACAGTTCCCGAAACTGATGATGATGACGACGATCGTCCCTTTGTTAAAGATGGGAGCGGTAATCCCGGCGTGGATGATGGTCTTCTGAGCGGCGAAGGGAGAGGCGCTGGTGTTGGTGGCGGTGTCAACGTTCTCGTTCCCAATGGAGGCAGACGACCCAGTTTCTCCTTTCCGGGATATAATGGTCCCGGCTTCGTCACAATCAACGGAGTGGAGACGCCCATTCCCGATGTGAATGCCTATCAGCACAAGAAAACCTTGGCCCAGGGAATGATGGACTTAGCACTGCTCTCCGCGAATGCAAATCAATTGCGTTACGTTCTGGAAACCAGTACCTCGAATCCCTACTACTATCCCAGCCTCCTGTTCATCTCACTCAGCATCATATTTCAGGTGAGAAATATAAATGATCTCTGCCCTTGTTTATAATATACCTACATAATTTAAACAACACTTTTAATTTAAATTTAAAATATTTCCAAATTTTATATCGAATAGATCTAGACATTTCATTTAGAAATCATTTAATAATTTGTCGGTATTTATCTTATTAAACTTTTTGCTAAAACTTTAAGAAATTATACGTTAAAAGAAATATTTGCCGTTAGCAAAGCTTTACTGTATTTTAAGTATTCATAATTTTGGTGATATTTATTATATTGTTTATTTTTATTTCAGATCGCTGTTGGCGTGGGACTTATTTTGAATGGGCAGTACAACATCAAGAATGAGCAAGAGATCTGCCGAGCAAACAAAATCAATAACTACACAGTCATCGGCATTTTCATTGTCACGGTGGTCAATGTCCTTATTTCAGCCTTTGGCGTTGCAGATCCTGTTACTGTAGCCGCGAATACAACATAGTTTAAACTAAAATATAATATATTTAAATTAGAAAGTAGCTTCAAAGGCACCATAGCATCATAATGTAATACTCACAGCCACACTTTTTGTTGAAATTCACTATGCGCCTCATATTTTTAAAGATAAAAATGAATTGTGATAAATAAATAAATCCCACGAGCATTTTACACCTTATTCAAATTTTTTGAAAAATTCTTTTAATTTAATTTGGGTCAAGTTGAAAACCAAAACTATTAACTGTGGAACATTTATAGGAATCCTTTATGAAATATGATTTGTTTGGTTAATTGTGAAAGAAAATTAAATGTACTGCAAAAAAAAAATATTTTTAGTATAAACCACCTCAATCTTTTTGAAATTTTGTTGGCGCCAAAATATCGGTTAATTACGATAGTTTCCCAGCTGAAACTGCACAGCACTGCATTAAGCTTTCAATATTTACCAGCACTTACAAACAGCTGTTTTCGTTGACTAAAAAGAATCGTGCGGAAAATTAAGCATTTTCGGCTAAAAACCAATTACAAACATGGCAAAGATTCTTAAGGCGGTAGGTACAAATACAACTAAGTACAGATGACCCAAAGAGGCCTAAAGGCCTGAAAAAAGGCTTACACGACCAAAGACTAATGGCATTCAGCTAATTGTTATTGTTATGTCATCGCTTCCTTCTGCAGTCCACAGGTTTAACCGGACTCGCCGTGTCCTCCAATCCTCATCATGTCCTGAGTGCTCTGTATGGAAAGATCCTGCGTGCAGTGGGAAAAATGCCACAGGATGCCAGCTACCGCAAATACACCGAGCAGTTGGTCAAGCAACGCGCCGATGCTGTTGCCCAAGTAAGATGATTTCTAATTGGGAATATAATATCCCTTTTAAATCATATAAAAGCCAATTTATCATATTTTAATCCCATAGAACAAGAACATCGCTGACCTGGAGAAAGCAGTTGGCTGCGGTCAGGTGGAGGAGCTGATTGTCCAGGCCGAGAACGAGTTGGTGCTGGCCCGCAAAATGCTCGGCTGGAAGCCCTGGGAAAAGTTGGCCCAAACCGCACCTGCCAAGCAGTGGGATTGGCCACCCGCCCAGATCTTGGAGCCCAAGGTTTAGGCATCCACATGATTTAGAACACATAGTACTAATTATTCTACGAATTGAAATGAGAAGAGAGCAATAAATTCGTTGATAAGCCAGCGGCATTATCAGCAACAAAATTATTGAGCTACGATCTGTAAACCTTCGGGAGTGTTCTGGATTTTATTCAATTTTATTATACGATATGGATACCGCGAGATGGCACTTTTTAAGAAGCACGATTATAATAAATGTTATTTTTTAAATCACAGCTAGGCGAGATAATCATAAATGCTCTAAGTCAGCAGTAAATCAATGAAATCAGGAACACCCCATGAGCCCAGCTCCCATTAAATATTTTACTGAGCACATCGATCTTCTGGCTGGCAATCTCAGTTTGCTTTCAACATGCGTGCGCTTCAGTACCTCCTCCTGCTGCTAGTTATATCCGTTAGCTTAGTGGCATCGCTTCCCCGCCAGCGGCGCCAAATCGATCTCACGCTGTCGGCGGAGCACGATGACAAGGACGACGAGACAGAACTGGCACTGGAGGCCATCGCAGGACTGTGGAGCAGTGCAGACAGCCGGACAAAGATCGATGGATCCGCTAGTCTAGTACATCGCACCCACGGAATGGACTCGGGTATGGGAAGCACCAAATACCAGGCGCGAGTGCATCTCCATCATGACTATAAGCAATATGCGTATCCCTCGTAATCCAAGGTTCCACGCAGGACTTTCGCCTGGGAGTGCGAGTTACGTTCGAAAGATAGATAGACGGGGAGTTCCAGACATCGGCGAGCGGGGCAAATCTATGGATTGCGTGAGGAGACCAGCCACTGTATAAACATTCCCACTGCCGATAACATTTTGACCTTCCCAGCTCCGCTTTGTTTGAAAATATAGAACCTTCGTGAAAATACAATATACCCGCACACTGTTTACTTTATTGATTCCGTTTTAATCGCCTTCGCCGGTTTTCTAGACCGTGAAGCACCGCAACAACTTTCAGCTTAAAATTACAACTACAACAACGAATTTGCACAACAGTGAAGTGGAGAGAAGAAGGATAATAAATACAAGCCATTTCTTAAGTATAAATGCCATTAGTCAACGTGGTTTAGAGTGGGTGCCTCAGGAATCGAGGACACGAAAAGTAATCTACGGCGTACTTTCATTTGTCAACTTTAGGTCAAGTTCGCAACTCTAATTGGGTTAATCTTGGCAGCTTTGAAAATTGAATTATTATGTCTACTTACACGAAGAGTTATTTGTATATTGCTATTCCCCTAACAGAGAAATTTCAATTGTGTAATTAGAAATATAGAAAGAAACTTTAAAGAGCTTTGCTTTTTTATAAGCAAGTTACTTCTGAAGAGTATGAATTTTTATAAGTTATAAAGAATAAGCTATACTTTTAGGAAGCAGTCAAATGGTTTTCATCTTAAGATATTTATCGTTAGAAAAGACAACATAAACTTGTATGTTAAATATAAATAAATTAAATAGGAAATCCTTGTTAACAACACGAGTTCAGTTTGAAACAAGACCTGCAGCTTAAAATAAACAATAACTTCCCTGAATTACTTTTTTTGCCTACGATATTTAAAAAAAAGATATATTGCACCCACTCTTTTGAGGTTAATATCATTGCACCTTCATCTCGAGTCCTTAATTCAGGTTGATAGGGACTCCCTGGCTCTCCTGTGCCTTGAGTTCCTGGACCACAAAGTTTCGGAATTCATTGTAAGCCACATCGATATCCACATTGTTGATGATCTTGTGGAAGTTACCGGGCGTTAATCCGTATTCGATTTCCACCTGGGCGGCATTCAAACGCTTCTTAAGGGTCTCCTCCGTTTCGGAGCCACGGAGGCGTAGTCGCCGTTCCAGTTCTTCAATGGTCGGGGGATTATTGAAGATCAGAATGGGATTGAGATCCGTTCGGCGGATCTGCTCGACTCCCTTCTGTTCGATGTCCAGGATGCAGACCCTTCCTTGGGCCTGAATTTCCCGCACAGCAGCCTTGCTGGTTCCGTAGAGATTACCCGTAAACTCGGCGGTTTCGATGAATTCATCTGCGGCGATCGCCGCCTCCATTTCCGGACGTTCCACGAAATAGTAGTGAACACCATGCTCTTCGCCTTTCCGCGGTTTTCGCGTGGTGTGGGATATGCTGAACCCAAAGGTATTGGGAAACTCCGCGAAGAGCTTCTTCAGCAGAGTACTCTTTCCGGATCCCGAGGGTCCGCAAAGGACGAGGGGGCGTGGTCCCGGGGCGGTCATCTTCCTGCTCGATAAGTTCGACGCCGTGCTGCTGCTAAGAGCGCGATTTACAATGAACAGAAAGCTTATCATCGCGTGGCCTTTTATTCTCCTATAGCACTGCGAGCCAACAACACTAATGGGGCCCCAAAAAGCTGGTTCTTTTTTTACTTGGCTAAATTAAGAGAAGCGTGCGATTGCGATATTGTGTGGGTGTCGGTGTTTGTGTATGCGCGCCAGCGATGGGTTAATTTCGATTTATATCGATTGACCAGTTTGTGCAATACTTTGTAGACAATCGATTGGGTCACTCTAATTTTTAAATTTATATTTAAAATTTCGACGATTTAAACTTAAAGAAAAAGGACAATTCACAACAGGGCCGGCGGAAGGTGTATACCGGGTGTTGAGCACTCCACACGCCAAATCTTAGCGGGTGTGGAATTCAACACCCCAAAATGCTTGACTTGTAGAAAAAAATTTATTTACATCCATTATTATCAGTTGAATGTATGATTCAAAACTGTTTCTCCGGCCCTGCATATAGAGTATATCGAAGAAAAACGAAGAGAAATCCCGCCTTTACCACGGCCCAATTAAATCAGTTTCTATTTAAATAGATAGATAGTAACTCTCCCAAATACCCAAGTTAAGCATTTTCCAACTTAATGTAACAACTACTTAAATAATTATGAGATTATCATAAATAAATCTTTTCAGATTGGTACTTACTCAGTTAGCTCCTGATCTGCACTGCAATCTATCGTCTTCTTGAAGTAAGATAATCACCGCAACCACTTTATTCGCAACATTAACACTTAACACTTTACCCTGAAATTAAATAAGAAAAAAAATAATAATAAATAATTTGTTACAAATAATAATAGTTAGAATTATTTTGTTAGTAAAAAAGGTATTTACCTCTTTGGGTTTTTTATTCACTGCATCTTGAAGTACACTCCAAGTAGAAAGGTATAGTCATCACCTGTAATGAAAAGAAGCATTCCAAAATATTAGTTAAATTATTTTATACAAATCGGTTGTTTAAAAAATACATACCCCAATGAGGTGATGCACTGCATCCTGGAGTGGAGTTCAATAGAAGATCACGCCATTCATAATTGATCCTGCAGCCTGTTGTCCAGTCCATTTATGTGGTGTCAGCATACTATATATTTCCGGTAACCGCATTCTTACAACTATTACTATATATATACTACATATATTTATATTATATGTCGCTACTTGTTTACAATTATTAATTGTGTTTGATTTTCATGTACTTCAAGTTCAATATTTGATAAAATTTACCTTTCAAATTTCTTTCATGTTCTTGAAAACTTTCAGATCTTTATCTGTTTCTTTTAGTTTCTTTGTCAAAATATTTATGATTTTTTAAAATATATAACTTAATTATTTATTGTCTAAAGGATGTACTCACTGCGTAATAACTTTGGTGCAGTGCATCCTGATGTCGAACTTCAAGTTACAAATTGGATGGTGTCACCAATTATTTTCTGCAATCAGCCAAATACACAACCAAAAACCTGAAAAAAAAAATATAAAAAAAATTGAATTAATTAACTGCATTTTTTTTACAAAAGCCACGTCATCATATAATTAAAAAAAACTGCAACTCACCTTTTCAGGTTTGGATGCCCTGCATCCTGGAGTCCACTACATGCAGGAAGGGATCGGGCACCTTTAAGTTCATGCCAAGTCAGGTCATGATGCAGTCCTAGGAGGATTCGACCCATGGTGCACTGCATCCGGGAGTGGACTCCAGTAGGTGGAGTCGACCCAAGATGCACTGCATCCGGGAGTGGATTCCAGTAGGAGGAGTCGACCCATGGTGCACTGCATCCGGGAGTGGACTCCAGTAGGAGGAGTCGACCCATGATGCACTGCATCCGGGAGTGGACTCCAGTAGGAGGAGTTGGCCAGATACTCTCTCCCACTCTGGAACCACGTCACTAACACACACGCACACACACACACTTCCAGAGACCGGAAAAAGTTTCTTAGAGAAACTGCCGGTCATCCCGGAGAACTGAGAAATTGGCCAAAATCAAGGGGTATCCCACTACGAATCAGCCAGAACCACTTGGGAATTATAGGTGCGAGAAAACGAAAAAAATAATTAATTATCATTGTCGCTGACGTGGCCATATTAATTTAATTAACATTTAGTTAACATTACATTTACATTATATTAAATTAACATAATTTTAACATTAAATTAACATTACATTAATATTAAATGGATTTTAATTAACATTTTACATTTAAAATAGTTTTTTTTACCTGTTGCATTTTGATTGATTGGTGTTGTTGTTTTATTAAAATTTATACTTACCTATATTATGTCAACAGTGTTTCCCTCATCATGATTTGGAATGATTTTGAAACAAAAGGGGCGGGGGGGATATTGAAAATTTGTGAGGTCATCACCCCACTCAAAACTGTTTCTCCGGCCTTGATTCACAAATATGTTTTAAAATGATTTACCGTTTTCAAATTAGGGTTTTCAGATGGCTCAATATTGCTTTAACCAAACAATTCCAATATACAAAAAAAAAAAAAACGTTACAATTTGCAAATAGTTACAAATGAATATTTTTTACGAAAATTTAAATTTTTAAATATGGCTCTTGTACTTACCTTCTACTTTATTGTTTTACCGGATGACATAAGTTGTATGAACTTTTTCTTCTCATAATGATTCAAGATTTTAAACTATATAGGATATTAGTAAATGGACACCCAATTAAACCCAATCAAAGTCAACTGGTTTTTGGTTTAAAAACTGTTATATTCTTATACTGTTTTACATTTAGCATAGAATTTCAAACACACATACACACTGAAACTGATGCCGACTGAATTACAATGCATTTTAAGTTTTCTTTAATTTAGCTTATAATAATTATGAACTTCTCATCTGCTCGTTTCCATTTAATTGTTTTCTTTTTACTCTCGATTTTTTACGTTTTTTGTAATTTCATATTTTGATCACATTTTGATTTCGCATGCCCAAAGTGAATTTGGTTTGTGTTCCGAATGATTCGCCTGAATGTAAACCTTCAACTACTACCGTCCGATAAATCAAAAATATATATGTTTTACCTCGTATGTTTAAGGGTTTATGCAAGCCTCTGCTTCTGCCTAGATTCCTACTCTGTGTATATGCTAGTATTCAGTCAATATTATTATTATATTCATGTCTGCTTAGCTCATCCTCCCCCATTTTTCTTTTGGGAAGAGCTCGCTTTCAATGGAGGATCAAAAACCTGAAGATCTGTTCTTTTCTAATGGGAAGAGTATATAAATTTCGGTTTACCGAAGATGAATACCTCAAATGTCATATATGTACAAATTATTATACGGTTTTTAGCTTTAAGTTTTCGATGTATATTTGCATTTGAATCGAAAGAAAATCAAACAGTTCTAGGGGAGACGATCGTGGTATTATTATATGGTTGCTGGATCCCTGGCGGTCTCAACTAAATAACAGTACTAACTTCGTATCGGAGCTGTAACATGGATAAGGCATGTGGAGGATTTGATATCGGAAATGATGATGATTATGATGTGTTGGATTATGTGTTTTTTTTTTTTTTGTTTTGTGGCTGGCAATGCAAGAATTTGTGTAATTGTTTTCCGTAATTTATTATACCCTAAAAATTTGTTTACAACTAATACTATGCATATGCTTAAAATTGATTAAAAAATATAATATTTATATTTATAGATTTATTCACGATACTAGAAACTAAACGAATTGTACGACAAAATTGTTGAATAAGACCGAAACGGGAGCGCCCTTCTTATCGATAAGGTTTAGCAATCCCATCTGGTGCTCCCAAAAAAGGTTAACAATTACAAAAAGGTGTGGCGAGGGCGGGTTGGGGGGTGGTATGTGAATGGTGTGTGTGTGTGTGTGTGCCCCTAGAAAAACGGGGCAATCTTCTTACTGGCTAGGATTCAATATTATTCATATTTAATATTCAATTACTAGGAGCGTAAAAGTTTTCGCATTCATTTATCGGCTGCTATATTCTGGCTGGCAAATTAATTAAAATATTCAATGCAGTGGTAACAAAAAAGGAAACTACTAACAATTATGTTTAGATCGGCTTGGTTTTGCTTCTTCTTCTTTCGTTTTGTATAATTATGTTTAATTATTGTTTACAAGTAGCATAATTAATAATTACGTGTATATTTGATGTTGTTTCCTTAGCAATTGTTTTTGTTTCATCCGTTTTGTTTAACTCATAAAATTACCTAATCAATTAAACCATAAAAATAGTTGTTACTGCTGCTACTGCTGCTGCATCATCATCTGTTCTTAACGTTGCTCTTGTTAATTGTAATCTACGGTTAGTGGCGGCCTTTTAGGCCTTCCAGTTGTTCTGGCGACTGCCGCTGGCTCCGCTCTGCTGCTGCGGCGGAATCATCTCCAGCAAATACTGGCGCTGCAGCTCCGCCGCCCGCTGCACATCCGCCATGCTGCTGGCACTGCTCGAGTTCTTCGACGATCCCGAGGACGAACTGCTCTTCTTGTTGTTATTGTTGAAGGCTAAAGAAAGGATAGGAGAACGTTATTAAATTGTACAATGACGAATGCATTCTATGCATCTAGTAACACTAATCTTATTCATAACTCACCTGCCACTTGTGCCGCCTGCGCCATTGCCATCTGGTAAGAGTACAGAAGCGGAGCAAACTGCATCATGTGCTGCGGATTGCCTCCAAGACCTTGACCCAGAGCTAAAAAAAAGAACAAACAGATTAGTAAAATATAGATTAATAATAATCCTTAAATGTATAAAAATAAATTTATCATTTTTTTTAAAAAAGGAATATAACGCACCTCTAAAGAGCTGCTGCTGGAAAGCCTGCATGGCGGCCGCCGTGGCAGCTGGCGAGGAGTTGCCCAGTCCCGCCGCCGGATTATTGGTGCCCGTCGAGGCGCCGCCAAAGTTGCCCAGTCCGCCCAAGGCAGCCAGATTGCCCAGCTGGCTGAGGTTGCCCAGGTTGCCGAGGTTGCCCAGACTGGCCAGGCTGTTGATGTTCAGCCCGCCCATGCCGCCAAGGGCACTCAGATGAGCAGCCGCCGCCAGCGTGGCCGCCGAGTATTTGTCGTAGCTCTGGGCCTGCTGCTGCTGCTGCTGTTGCTGCTGCGTCTGCTGATCCCGCTGCTGTTCCCGCTCCCGCTGATCCCGCTGCTGCTGCTGCTGCGACTGGTGATGGTGGTCGAGCCGATCGTTGCGGGATGATCGCGACGAGCTGGCCGCCTCGTGGTGATGCGCCGCCGACGGTCCGGGACTGAGGATGCCCGCCTGCTGGGCGGCAATGGCGGCCGCTGCTGCCGTGGCCGCCGCTCGCGAGGATCGTGACCCACTCGACGATGAAGGCGGCGGTGTGGCCTGACTCTGCGGCGGCGGCGGCGTTGGACGCGGTGTCGCTGGCGTTGGCGTCTGGCATTTGGTGGGTATCACCGTCACCGACGGCGGCAAATTGACCAAAGCAGCAGCCGCCGAGGCGTGCGTCGCCTGCAACTGCTCCCGTTCCCGTTGCAGGTGCGCAGATGAGGAGTTGCTGGTCACCGCGGACACGGACAGCGAATTGCCACCGCCACTCGATCCATGGTTGTCCACCGGCGAGGGACTGCTCTGGCTGGCCAGACGCTGCTCGATCTCCTGCTCCTGCTGCAGCGCCTTCACGAACGCCTGTTTCAGTCGGTTGGTGTGCTCCGCCTTCAGCGCCTTCTTCACATTCGACGTGACGCACTGCTCGCAAATCACCTTGGGATCTTTGTTGGCTGAAAGTAGAGAGAAGGAGGAATTAGATTGTTTGTTTAAAAGGAGATTTACGATTTCTGGTTCAACAAAATGAGAACCGATCATAAGTTATGACTATCAGTTGGGTGATTGGTTGATTATTTAAGAATTTAAATGCTTCCAAGTATGTATGTAAGTAAGCAATTAATTCCCAATTAATTCTATAATATTTTGATCTAGGGATATACATACTCTGCTTCTCCCACTTCCACACGGGCGTAAAGTCAATCTTGCACTGGGCACAACGGAAGGGAGCGGCAACTGCATTGGCCTTCTTGTTGACGGTCAGATAGTCCACAACGGTTTCCAATCCGAGGAGATATACGAAGTCCGTGTTGCTGGGATTGGGTATAAAGTGCATCTCTGGCGGTGGTGGCTTTGGTGGGGGAATCTGTTGAAGATAAACACGAGTATAAAACCAAGGTTTCTTAATCAATTTAAAGCACTTTCGCACTCACCTGAAGCAACGTCTTTTCCAACTGCTTGCGGAGGGCCATTTTAGCAGCCGCCTGTCTTTGAGCAGGTGTCTGGGCATCTTCCCTTGGCGTCGAGCGATCATTCTGTACAGAAATAAATTCAATTAATAGTGGAACAATTAAGAAAACAGTCTGGAGTAATTACCTTCTGATCGTTGTGCTGATTCTGATGCGATTGGGAGAGTGGTAGCGCCGGCGTGATGGAAACAGAATTGCTTATGGTCCCAGGTACCTTCGAATTATCCGAAATATTAGGCTGCATGTTTCAACGATTTGGTTGGGTTTTTTGTTTTTAATGTTTTTTACAGGATAGCAAATACGAATACAGAGCAAAGTTAAGTTTTTAGTAGTTGGGAGATTAGCTGTTGTCAAATGAATACGATAAATGAAGGAATATTTAGTGCCACTTGCACGAAGCCTCCTCGGTTTTTGGAAAATCCTCATACAGAGGCCGACTTCGGCTGAACTGACAGGTAAGTAGTGTTAGTTAGCAGTGTTGAAGTAGTTTTCTGAACTTGTTTTTAAGTGTTGGGCCACAAAAACTATCGAGTAGTTTCAATAAAAGCAAGTATAATCATTTATATACATTTTTGTTGATTAACACAGGAGTAAAATACAAAATAAGAATAAAATTTAAGAACAAATTAAACACAAATCTAGGAAGTCGCATTGAAAATATAATACTTTCGAAACATAATTAAAATAAATTCACATTAAGTTAAGAGGTTATAACAAGGTTTCGTAGCTCTTGCTGTGATTAGTTTAATTAGTATGTTAGTTTCCAATTTGTTTTGTGTTGGTAAGCGTGAGTTTTTGTAGGTGTTCAGTGTTCGGAAGGTGTTTGTTTCATAGAACTTTTGTTTTCGTGGAGAGTAAGTAGCAGTGTTTGGTGCTCTTGGACAAAAGGTGTGAAAAAACTCGGCGCTTACGGCAACGATTACATTACAATAACTCACATTGCGTGGTTTCAGACTGGAGGGCGGCGCCGATGTGGGCGTGATGGTCACCGAGGGCGTGATGGTGAGATTCGGCAGGTTGGTGCGCGGCGGCAAATTGCTGGACCGATGCGACGAGGAGGTGGCGGGCGTGATGGTGGTGCCGGCGGCCAATGTGGCTCCCGCTGGCAGTGATGACCTCGGCGGCGGCAAAATCGAGTTGCTGCTGCTGCTGTTGCGATGTTGACCGCTTAAAGCAGCCGCTGCAGCGGCAATTGCAGAAGCGGCTGCCGCCGCTGAACTCGAGCTACCCGTTCGACTGTTTGTGGCGCTGCAAAATAAAAAACAATTATTAGTTTAATCTTGATATTTAGGTTATTATTAAAATCTTTACCTAATGCTCACTGCCGGTCCGCCGCTGCCGCTTAAGCTGCTCCTGCTGCCCTTGCTGTGGGCGGGCAGCGGCACCGCCGACGTGGGCGTCACGCTCAGCGATCCCTTCGAGGTGAGGGCGGCGGGAATGGCGGCCAGCGGATTGTTGGGCGAAACGCTGGTCGGTGTCACCACCAGATTCTCCTTCATCACCTGCTGCGACTGCTTCAGTTTCTTGAGCAGCATCAGTTTGGTCTCCTCGTTGCGCAGATCCTGTCGCAGTTTCCGCAGACTCTTCTCGCGCTCCTTGAGCTCCGCATGACTCAGCTCCTTGATGGGCACATACAGTGGCATCTCCTCGTCATCCGTCTCCGAGTCTATGTTCCCGTTCTGCTGGCGTCCATTGGTGCGAGCGGGTAATAACACAATGTCCGGTGCTTCGGCATAGGATTTGGGTTCGGTTCGCGGTCGCAGGACCCTCCGTTGAACCTTGTTCTCATCCTGACCGCCGCCGATGGTTGATCCGCCTCCTGGCGCCCCAGCGACTCCTTCACTGGCATTGACGCTATTGCTGCTGCCGCTGTTTGCGCTGGAGCTATTGGTGTTACTGCTGCTGTTGTTGGTGGTGCTGCTGTTGGAGTTGATGCTACTACTGCTATTGGCGGATGGGCCGTTGTTGGTCGTCGGCGCTGGAGATGGAGTGATGGTCAGGCCCGCGTTGTTCGCCGTCAGAGCTCGCAGATCCCGATTGCTCAGACCCGCCGGAGACGGAGACGGAGCCGGCGTTATGGTCAACGCCGGATCACGACCGGACCCCAAACTCAAGTCGACCACATCGTCGACCTCCATTTTGGCCATTTTCGCTCGTCGCGTCGTCGTGATTCTGTATGTTGGTCAACTGCAAAAAGAAAAGGCAGAAAATCGATTAGTTTGGGTGACACAACATGGCAAACTTGGGGTTCATAATGTTTTATTTAGTAATTGTGAATAGGATCGTGTTAATACTCAAATATTAAATTTTTGGTCATTTCTTTAGCGTAAAATTAATAAATTACGTCGAGGATTTTCACCCTTGGCTATTTTATAAATGACTTTATTTATAAAAAAGGAGTTTTATGCAAAAAATATTGTATAGGGGTTCAGGGGGCGTGTCATGGAAAGGGGATATTGTGGCGTTCGTGTTTTGCCAAGGGTTGAATTTGGGTTTCCTTTTCAGAATTTTTATTCCCGTTTTGTTTTTCTTTCCTTCTCCTTTTCCGTGGCGACACTATGAAAGCGGAAGTGCGACTGTCTAACCCCTAAATGTATCTGTATCTGTATCACCGTTTTTCCCTTTGCCGTGTTGGGAAATAATAAAGATATCCTGATTTCAATTTATTAAGGCGGCGACCTTGTTAGGGTAACCGATATATCCCCTCAAGGAGAAAAAAAAAATGGAAAAGAAAATAAAGGGGAGAAAGCTGCACTAAATCACAAATCAAATCTGATTTGATCGCAGATATGTAAGTGTAAGTGGATTTGGGGCGCCTGTGTGAGTGAGAGAGCGCCAAAGCGAAAAATTTCTTTCGATTCGGACATCTTCCACAAACAAGTCACGTTTTCGATTTAACAAATTTTCGCATACAAAGCCGCTGGTTTTGCGGCTACAAGAAAATTTACATGAAAACCGAGCTAGTCGATGGAAGGAGAAACTTGTAAGACAGTCAAAACTCGCTAGCAAAAACCCATCAGCAGTTGGGGATAATTATAAATTTCAATTATAGTGCATGTTATAAAAATTGTAGTATGTATTAGTATTCAAAGTCTTAATTTAAAGTTGTATGCCAACATTAATTTTGCTTTACAACCTTTTTACTCGACCTCCACTGTACTTAGTAGTAGAACAACTAGCAGATATCCAAACCAGCAAAAACAAGCGCACACAATCACAAACCAACAACAGCTACCTGACACGTGAGAGCGAGAGGTGAATAAACCTTTCAAGCAACTTGAGCTGCACTAAAGCACAAACAACAAAGCACAGCAAATACGACAAACATTCACCTGCTGCTGATTTTGAAAAGCACACACAAACAATATCAAAAAGTCAATAAAAATTATTTTAACAAGAAACAAACGATAACGCAGCAATAAGCGTCACAATTAAAATGTAATATAAACGTAGGTCGTAAAATAAATATGTTAAAGCAGGTGGCAACCCTAACAAAGTCAAGTTTTGCGAGAAGTATCTACTTTTGCAGATTCCGGCCGAAGAAAAGCGAATCAAATGGCATTATTACACAAAGCTTGGGCAAAATAAGCAATAAAAAATAAAACAACTTCACATTGTTGTCCCCAACGTACTATAAATTAACTCGCTTTGAAAGTTAGCACACAAACACACACCATGTAAGTCGAGTGTATGAGCACGCTTACTCGTTCGTTTTTTATTATTTTTTCTTCCCCTCCAGCTCTTCTTTTTTCTCCCCCGCCCCTTAAAGCGTCGGCTGTCGGCGGAGTCTCGTTACTTTCGACACTTGTGTCGTCATCAGATTGCGCTGCCCGCTATCAGTGCACAGTGGGTCGCATTCGCGGGGTGTACAAGATAATAGGTGGCAAAGCGTGCTGTGCGATAGTGGGCAACGATAAGAGCGAGCGAAAAAGGTACAGTGGTGAAAAGCTTATCAAAATAATTGGTTATTGCTTTTTTGAATTAACTTTACTAATATTTTGTATAAATATGTTCTGGGCTTGTGTTTATTTCACAATTTCCAAAATAACGAAAATTATAATGTATATAATCTATCTATAAATTATAGCTTCTTTAACAAGTCACTAATAAACGAGTTTAATTTTTGCTAACTGTAGCGAATTGTACGATTGTTTAGGCTGACTATGCCCACTGTGACTTGTTGGCCTGTGCATGAGAGTTAATTCCACAGAGTGAACTTGTGTATGTTTGCTTGCTAAAGTGTGTTAGCTTGTGTGCTCTGATGATTGTCAGCTTTTTCTTATTAAATTAATGCAAACATTTTTACATTTTTATAGATGCTTTTTAATGTTCGCGACCATTATGCGTGATGATAGCCCGCTCACACACAGCCCCCATCCCCCAAAGCCTGGCCCACCCTCTTTCCCTTTGACCTCAAACCGACTTCGAAAGAAAAGAGACTTTATCGATTTGTTGCGACGTTTGGCATTTGTATGACTATAATTGTGCTTAATAGCGCGCTAAATGTACTTCAATTAGCGTTTGTGAGCTGCTCAGCTTAAGTTCACAATGGGTTGTGGGATATATGTACAAATACTTTATGATCTTGGGGGGTCAGTTGGAACCTGGTGTACCTTATGCTCAAGTTCAAGTTTAAGGGTCGTTGGCACCTTGAAGAGATACAATATAGGCTGACACATCTAAATTATGGAAATGCAAATTGGATACAATTTTGCAGGAGTAAATTAGTGATATCAATATCAAAGTGACCGATGGCGATATTAGAGTAATAAATGGCCAAAGAAGATAAAGTGCGGAAGTGGAAGGGGTAAGAACACTTAGAAGCGAATGACAGGCGACGACGACGCAAAAAAGCAAAAGAAATAAGGTTAAATCAAAAGTACAGTTGTGTACATAGCGCGGCCAGCAGCAGCACCAACAAAAGCAACAACAACACAAACAAAAGCGAAGAGCAACAGCAAAGCAAGCAAAATGTGTTTGACTGTGGCTGCGGTGAGAGCGACAGAGAGAGGTAGAAAAAGAGAGCGCGCGGTGCGGTGCGGAGAGAGCTCGAGGAGGAAGCGGGAGAGCGAGAGAAAGATGGAAGAAGAGAGCGCACGTCGCACACACGCGAGACGACATCGAAGAGTGTGAGAGAGTGGAGCGGGCGGCGGTTTTTGGGGTCTGGCCACCCAAAAGCACCACCTCCCGAACCTCCACCCTCTTGTTACAACCCCACCTTCCATCGATTTGCATATTAGTTGCTTATCAACCCGTGGGATAAAGATTCATTGCCATAAGATTTCCGCCTGATTTACGAAAATGAACTCACAAACTTTCTTAGTAATACATTTTTACGAGAAAACTGCATTTAAATGATTCTTTATAAGACTCCAATCTTATCAAGAAACCTCAAACAAAAGTTCCTGACTTCCGTTTTCGCTTAAGGAACGGCACTTGTACTTGTAACTTATATGAACATTTTTGTCAATAAATATCTAGATATGATAAGCGCCTTACAATCCTTTGTCTTTTACTAAGACTTAATTTCAAGTCCTCTATTATCCACTATCAAAAAAATGTTTGTAACTAGTCTTATTCGTTCTGATGAAATTGATTGTCAACGAACATATTCAATAGAGCCCAAGGACTTTGACGCAATTTCTATGTAAGCCGCAGACATTGTACACCTTAAATTATAGAAAACAACGCGGGTTAAAGAAAACCATTAAAAATTATTAAAAAGCAAGACGCAGCTTAGCAAACAAACATATTTATTCGCCACGTTTCGGTTCGACATTATAAGAAATGCGCATATCTTATATCTTATGCCATTGTACATAGGCGGAGTGGAGAGGGGTGCACGGGGCTTAGTAGAGTGGAGTGGGGGGTCTCTGCTTGGCTGCTGAGCGAAAAAGAGAGAGAGCTGGCGAAAGAGCACAACTTGCTGTAGTACATGGGTCTGGGGTGGGGGAAGTGGAAGTGGGCGGGGGGCGACCGACCTTCGTACATATTTACTCATCCATGCTGGGATTTGGAATCGCAATTGGGAGGGTGGTGCAACGGGTGCTCAAAACACAATCCCAAAACAATTCCAATTCCAGACCCAAACGTAGGCCAATTCGACAATTGCAGTCAAGTGATGTCATCGAAAACTATGAAAAACTATCGAATTGCATTTAAAGAGTTCGAACAGTTGTTGCACCGATATGTGAAAAGCGTACTTGCTCTAGAAATCTATTCCAAATCAAAAACTGACGAAATCTTCAATACATAATATCACCAAAGTTTTTTCTGAAACAATGCTCTTGACCTTAGAGCGAAAACTGATAATTCCATTTTATACATTTTTGAATGCCTATTACTCATTTAATAAATATATATATTAACTTCCTGTAAAACAGTTCATAGCTACATACATATATTTTACTGACACGTATTTGTATACTGATCGGATGTGCTGAACATTAAAATCTAATAGAAATCAACGTAAAAACTGCGAAACATTTTTAAATAAAATATTTGATGACAAGTTTTGATAACAAATTCTTATTAAAATTAGTTATATCGACTAGAATATTCTAAGATACTAGCTGATTATTTCCCATTGCTCTGAAATAAAAATTTTCTTATCTACCATAATTCCACTTTTTGTCTAAAAATATCTTTGAAGTTGAATAAGCCATTCCAGAAATTGTGTGAGAATTTACTAATCTTATCAGAGTTAGTTTTTTGGTTAGGGTATTTTCATATACCTTTTAGAAAGGGCTTTCGTTAAAAGATTCCCATTCGGTGTAATCAACTTAAGTGCGCTATGACACTTCCCTCAAACGGCTCACTGTACCTCGTCGCTTTTCTCATTGCGTTTATTTATAACAGCCGATAAGCAAACATTGAGCAATTCGCCAGCACTCAAAACAGCGAATACATAAAAAAAACCAAAAGTTCTAAATGGGTTAACTAGAACATTAGGCACTGCTTAATTGCTTGCACTGTATGACAAACACCAAAAAATATGATCAGATTCTTCACATTCTTAATTGTTTTTTTTTTCTGGCTTATCAGTTAAGTATGCACACATTTCGAAACTCTGTGCTTAGTAATTGGCAAGTTAAAAAATTTAATTGGAGAGGGTGCATAGCAGCTGTTTTTTTTCTTGGTGCTCTTGACCAGTGTTGCCAACTAAATAAAAAGTAAATACAATACAT